ATAGGCGGCTGGAGGGCGGGGCTTCGATCGATTAGGGAGCACGCACGCGGAGGAGATGCAGAGCCTGCGTCTGCCACGCTTACTTGCTCTCTAATCGATCGAAGTCCCGCCCTCCAGCTGCCTATCTGGTTGAATCAGAAGGTAAAAATAGTTATATTTACAAATCAGCAAAATAAATTCTACCTAAGCATCTCGGCATCGGATGACTCCATTGTCCAGTTTCCATACACTTCGCCATAGTGGCTCCTTCATGAGTCATTGTTTCCAGGCATCTAAATCGACTCACAGGTGTAGAGATTAAGGAATGTTTATCAGATTCCAAGAGAGAATTGGTGAAAAATAACCGGCAGAAACAGTAATAAAATAGTCGCGTTTAAGTAAACACCGACCTGAAAGTAGCCGTTGCCCCGTAGTATGTATCACCTCCTTCGATGTATCCGTTACTAAGAGCTGGCAGAGGGGGACAACGAATTTCTAGAACGTAATTGGCAAACTCGCTCGAATTTGACGAGAAAATAAAAACTGTGGTAAAAAGCAGTTGAAATATTACCTTCACATCTCGGTTCCGTGCCAGCCCAGATCCCCTCGGCAAGGCAGATTCGTTGCACTTGACCGACAAGTCGGTAGCCTTCTTTACAGGAATATGTGACAGTTGACTGGTAAGTAAGCGAGGTGCCAAGAACTCTTCCATGGAGCGGATCCGGCGGCCGAGGGCATTCGGTAGCTTGAAACGCAATAATTTATCAAGAAATACTGACTTTTCATATATGGGACGCCTTGAGCACAAGTGAATGAAAGATATGAAATAACTGTTTTATCGTAATCCTCACGTTCTACAGATGAATTGTGAAAATCCTAACGTATGGTGATACTGCTTACCTTGACATATGGGTGCCTCATCCGACCATTCCCCATTACTTTCGCATCTTCGTGTAGCTGGCCCCAAGAGAAGAAAGCCAGGATGGCAACGGAAGACTACGGTATGGGGGTACTCAAATACATCACCCTCTCGCACGCCATTCTCCAATTTTCCCGGATCAGGGCAAGATCGAGCTAAAAGCGGTGATTTTTCTAATAATGTAGAAGATAGCAAATTTTATGACCTTACCTTTACATTTCAGGTCCGGGCCAAACCATTGTGCAATGTTTTTTCGATTCAACAGACACTTTGCCAATGCTAGCCCCTGCAACACTGGATTTTTGGCGCTATATCCTACGTTAGTTGACCCAAAAAATGAAAATCGTGAATTTTGCTAAACTTCGTCTATTAGGGTAATTGGGAACGCTGTACATTAAGATGTTTATTTCGCGCGATAACGCTATCCGGTAGAGTTACGGGTGGGGTTACGGTAGAATGGTCAAAATCATGGATTTGCCCGAAATTTCGTTTAGGGAGGTTATTTAGCATGCTGAACACGAATAT